TGTACATAAGGGAATATTAATGATTAAATAAAAGCTACTTGGCATGACTACGCCAGCATTTAAAAAAAAAAAAATAATAATATTTATTGTTAAACTATATAGTATCGTAGATTATGTGGATAATACAATTTATATGTAATAGTCTAGAATCCAAAAATCTGAAAGTTTTGAATGAAAGATTAAGTATTGCAAGGTAAGAAACTATAGATTAAAACTTAGGTACTGATAAGAGAACTATAAGTATCTAACAAAGTATAGGAAGTTTAGCAAAGTTTAGGATTAACATAGTCAATTATAAAGTAGATAGTCTATTGTTAGTTAGAAAAGTATAAATAACTTATCAGTGTAAGTCTTGAAGGTAGTACTAAATATATTAAGAAAAATTATTCTTATTGTAAATAGAAATAAGAGTTGATGATATATAAAAGAAACAGAATATGAATAAAGAGACACTTATTCTTGATCAAGTCAATTACTATATTCTTGCCTTTTCTAGGTATTTTTTACAAAAGGTATTCTCTTCTTCGTATTAGTTATGAGTATTTGTTAGTTATTTAGGTTATTTAAAGCACTATAGATTAGTAATGAACTCACCAAATTAGCCTATAACAATAGTAATTAATTATTGTCAATTTATTTATACTATTAATTTGATAAATTATTTATTTTTTAATAATTATTATATAAATAACAAAATATTAAATATTTTTTTTTTTGAATTAAAGAAATTGATTTCATTATATAATTTAATTGATTATATTAAATTATATTAAAAATTTATAAATCTTTAATTATATATACTGTATATATAGTATATTGTATAAACTAATTATATTAAAAGAATTAAGCATTTTTAAATAAAAAAAGCTAGAGAAAGAAGATCTGAAGATGACACACAAAAGATGGCTAAAAAAAAAGAATTTGTTATTATGGGTAAGAATACTAGATCTTGTAAAAAAAAAAAGTATATTCAACTAATGTTGACCAAGATTAAAGCCTATTCTAATAATCTATGAAATAAAGAAGCAAACTGACTGGCCAAAGAGACATTAAAGCTACTTGTAATAGAATGGAAGAGTCTCAAATCAAGCAAAATATCCACAGAAACTATGTGACAAGAAAAGGTGGTGGATAGTCCAATATAATAGTTTATCAAATCAATCAATAAAAGATCAATGGTTCTATCATGAATACAGTAACACAGAACAGAGACAAAATGGCATCACCAAATTCATAAGCATCCAACCTTCTTATAGGATCTGGTATGGGATAGGTTAAAGGATAGAAATACATGGGATATCTTCTTCTAAAGCTCACTGAAAAGAAGTTTTCTAGTTAAATTAATCAATAATGAACTATATATCTTAAACAAACTAGTAATAAAAAGATCAGACTTATACAAGCAAGCAAGATGTATAACATACAATCAGTATCAAGAGACAATGGAACATTTATTAAAATATTCTGATTATAAAATTGAGATTCTAGTGACATAGCAAAAAGAATCTAAGATTTTTTTTAAAGAATTCGACAAGTTGTATCAAGAACGTAAGAGGGAAATGGATGAAAAAATGGTACAACTAGCAGTCGACAATAGAAGAGAAAAAGATGAATTAGATAGATAGATCTCCAGACTAATAGAATCAGTCTTGCAAACTGGTTCAAGCATTCTTAACTTTTGCGCAGAATTAGTAGAAGGTGATACAATCAAAGAAGCTTTTAATCTAAATTATCATAAAAAAAAGCTAGTAACAACAATGGTAAAAAAATAGATTTTGAAAGTACAAAAGAAGGTTTGCAATCAGATCCAGAAACAAGTCTGAAATATGAGATATAAAAAAATTATTGAATGGAAACAAGAATAAAGAATTGATAGAAAAACAAAATATAAGAAGGTTTAAAAAGTAAGAAGGCAAAACTCACAAAATAATCCTGATTACAAAAGTATAAGGCAAAGAGAAGAAGAGAAAGAGAGTAAAAACAAAAACCTTATAAAAATTATAAGAAATGGAATTAAATATGAAATGAAGTGGTTGGGTTTTGATCCTCATCAGAACCTTGTGCAGTGATCCACAGTAATGACCTATAAATAATAATATTAGAAGTTGAAAGAGTTTCTATCTGAACTACTAATGGAGCAATAAATTACTCCTGAAGTTACAATTAGAGTCCTAGATAAATATAAGACTTTGACAAGTAAGTTGGTTAGAGATTTAGCTTTAGTGACATATATATAATGTATAGCTTACAATTGGTTAATAAAGCACACATAACTAGCTTAATAGAGGGTTATATTAAAAAAAATTATATTACAAGAATTAAAAAATCCATAGTATTGATCTATAGGTAATGATATTAAGAGTTGAAAGAGTTTTCATTTGAACTTATAATAGAATGATAAATATCTTCCAAAGTTGTACTTAGAGTAGTAATTACAAAGATGGATAAGCTAGTTAGTATTTTTTAGTTTTAGTGATTCATATTATATATATAGTTTATAAATATTTAATAAAGTATACATAACTAGTCTAACAAAGTATTAAAAAAAAAATTAAATTAAAAGAATTAAAAAAAAAAATTGTTAAAAATTAATTTATATAATTATAAATTGAAAATAAACAAAATTTAAATATATTAAAAAAAAACTCTTTTGCTAATTTTTTAACCACACACAAAAAAGATGTTTGTAAGAAGTTTTTATATTTCTTGACTAATATAGTTTTTCCACTTTCTTTAAAACAACTTGAAGCTTATCTTTAAAAGTTACTCCTACCTTCTCTCACTTGTTTATAAACTTCTTTAAACAAAAACTTGAGTCTCTAGTGGCCTAAATAAACTCAAGCATATACTTTTTCTACTAAAGACAAGAAGGTTCTAGGAAATAAAAGAACTAATTGGTAAAGTATCACCTTTCAAAGCTGAATGTAATATAGAGATAAAGGTTTTCTAGACAGAAGAAGATTTATTATTTACCTTCTCATATATTATTTCTTGCTCTTTTAGAGTATCTATAGTTTTTTACAGTTTTTTTGAAGAATTTTACTTACCTCAGCTTGATCCTGAATTTCTGGTAACACAATATCACTTGGCTTTTGATTGGTTAACACAAAATATATTGATAGCAAAATATAAACAAGGTTCCACTGACTATTTTCACTTGTTCCTATGACATCATTAATAAAAGAAAGAGAAATCAAGGATACGAACTTCTTTACTTCTCCAAATGAAGTTTAACTGAAGCAAAGAAATCATAAGGCCATTAGGATGGGCATTAAATTCATTAGATAGTGAAAAGATGGTTATTTGTTCAAGCCGAGACCTTTAACTTCTTATTATTCCAGTTAAGCAAAGTATACGAAAGAGATTATTTTCTTATCCCAGTTAGACTGCAAGATCAAAAAATAGAGAAATATAAAACATTGCCTTTCTCTAAGATTAAGAATGCATTTCTTCAGATATTGTATAATAATAGTACAATTAAGATGAATACCAATAAAATTACTTTAACTAGATATGGTTGCTAGAAGATATCAGAAGTTACTTAACAAGATTGAAAAGCTATATAAGAACTTGGAATCTATTGTTAGTCATATTTTTTTACACAGGTGGATACAAAATCAAGACCAAAAGAAAGAAAGTGTTGAGCAAGACACTGGATCTGGATAGGCAATAAGTATTTCAGATAGTCATAAAAAATAATTAAGAGTATAGATAAATAAGTTCCTCAGATGGTCAAGAAGAAGAAAGATATTTCAGAAGGATTGACTCTTAATGAGAAAAGGTTTTTAGTAGAGATTCTTTGGAGAACATGAGGTATTTTTAATTTTCATTTTTCCTTTTCATTTTTATGTAGTGCATTTGCATATTTTTAGACATTTCTTTTTTCTTTTATTTTATATTTCCCTTTTGTAATTTCTTGAATTCAGTTTCTTGAAAGATAATAAGTAGTAATAACCTGCTGACAATAATGAGTAAGTTAGGAGGATCTTTATTCAAAACTTAGTTCAAAGCAAAATATTGTTCCCAAGGTTGCACTTAGAGGCTGAAACTCTTTTGAGAATTGAAAGCCATTGACAAGTGTGTCAGTACAAGTCTTTTAGTTTAGTCATGATGCAATTGCCCTATGTACCTCTATTAGTTTTCATAATGATCAATAAATGCACAATACTGGCCTGATCATGGGTTTAAAAAAAAATTTTTTTTTTTAATTTATAAAATGATAATATATGAATAAACGATACTTGCTATTTTTTAAATGTTAATTCGAATTTTTAAAATATTTTTAATAATTTGAATCATAAATGTAATCAAGTAATTTTGATATGATATACATGAATAAAAATTTGTAAAGCAATTCTTATGATCTTTTTTATATTTTAGACGATCAATTATAATAAAACAAATATAAGAAGTAAAGCTTTAATATATTGTCTTTTATTTATAATTAATATACTATGATTCCAATACTTTTACAAATCAAGTCTAAAAAACTTGTCGTAAGCAATAAGAAAAAGAACTTTATAATTATTTATGTATAATAGCACGCGGATTATGTTTTAAAAAATATTCATGTTCCCAAAGTTTTGGGTGGCCAAATACTATTTAAAACCTACTGGTTACCCGGGTGCCATAGAAATCTAGTTGACTCGGATATTATATTAAGTAATTTTGGCGAAGAAATGAAAATTACTGTCATAGGGGGCATTTCAACAGGAAAAGCATATGAAAGAAAACTACGTAAAACGTTGCATAATGTCACTTTAAATTGTAATTAATTAAAACAATCATAGATCTCGAACAACTCTAAATAGTCAATACGCGAAATTTGTTAACTTGTTACAAGTATTATCTATATCCCCACCATGAAATTTGAATTTGTGCATAAAGTAATTCATAAAAAATCGAAACAAAAGTCATTTATCTAATCCATTTTAAGAAATTTTTTAAACCTCAAAATAGCCTTCCCCAATATCCGAGTCGCTAATTTCCGAACTTCCTCTTCTCGCGCCGAAAGCTGCACTCTTGTCAGAGAAATCATCCACGTGAGTTAAGAATTCTTCGATGCCACTAAAATATTCTTGCCCATGCCTCGGTGACTGTTGAATAGACATACAGGGTGACGGAGGTGCACTGATGTATGACATTGTTCCGGTACTAGGAATGTGCAAGGGTGACGCAGGACTAATCGACGGATGTGAATCTCTCAAGTATAAAAAAGAATCACCCGGATCTGGAAATTGAAAGTCCTGATGCACGTCAATTTCATCGCTAGGCGGAGATAAGGTGATGTCCCCGCCAAAATGAAATACTTCCAGTTCGAAGTGAGGACTTTCCAGATCAATTCCTGAACTCTGCAACAGATCTTCGACTTCAACCACCGTCATCCCACGCGGAAAAATCACCCGCAACTCGCAATCAAAAACTTTAATCTCATAACCTCCATGCGTTTGAAGAATTTTCAGAATTGAAATTACTTCCATCATGTGATTATACTGAATCTCTGCGTGTTCTTGTAAATTCTCAATAAATAATGGGTCCAGCCTGTCCATCTGGTGCATACTCACGTTACGCATCAAGTGGGAGACCACGCCGGCAAAGGAATTGATACTGCTAAAACTACTTTCCATAGAAATTGAATTTTCCCAGAAAAGGGGAGGGCTAAGTATGAATGACATGTACACTTGAACATCGCTGCTGTTCTCAGTGGTTTCCATGGTTTTGGCAACAGTCTTATTTTTACGCGAAGATTTTTTGATATTTGTCCTACGAACGATCAGAGGTTTATTATGTTTATGTTCATCAGATTCCTGTTTTTGTACGGCATCGAAGATCCCTTTGCTTTGGAATAATTTACGTCCTACGTCTATTTTAAGACCTACAAATTCAGAAGGGTTGACGTTTTTACCAAGATTGTCAGGTGAAGGAGTCCACAAAGCTCCAGTCTTAGTTGCAAGCGCCGAAAATGGTTTAAACCCTAACTTCGCAAGAACAACACCACCGTTATTAAAACTGTTGTTAAAAACTGCAGTTTGAGCCGATGAGAAATTTCTCGCTCCACTATTGCAAAACATATTTCTTGTTCCGACTGACTGTGAAAATGCGTAGTTTGATGTCAAACCGATTCTCTGTGGCTTACATATTCTAAGTGGAGTTCGTGAAAAAGTTATCGGTACGGGTTCCGGGAGCGGTATGAAAGATTTGAAAATAGCGAAATTCTCAAAAATAAAATCGCGAAGGCGAACTTCTTGTGTTTTAACCGAGTTGTTGTAAATGTTCACGTTTGAAAACTGCTTTTGTATTTCAGAGACTTGTTGCTTAGCAAAAATGGAAGTCCCACCCGTAGCATTAGCCTTTGATCCTTTAACCCCTAAGGTCATAACACGCTCCAGGGGCTCAACCAGAGCCTTCACTTGTTTCCACATGGCAGCGCTCGTATTCTGCGAACGCGGCTATTGTGAAAGATAGTTTGTCTTGTTATTACAAAATTAATCAACTGGTTCTTTTATCGAATCAATGATCGACCCCTGCATTTTGCTGAGGCTACATCAGTGGTTCGAAAACGGTAAGAGGATGCGATAATCATTCTGAGCATAAGAACGTCATGAGAACGTGTGTGTGGTACACTACAATAAATTATCTGATATCTTTTGATGACGCAAAACAAACAACGCAATGCCTTATTTGATTAATTAGCGTGTGTTCACGTGTTTGTGTGAATTATTTGACATGCACCAATGGTATACGGAATATAGTATCTAGTTTTTTTGGCTCATAAACTCATAAAGTTAAATTCTTTTCACCCGAGTATATCGCAATATTTACGACTATGACATAATTCTAATATCACGTGAATCAACTATTCTTATCTTTTTCATCTTTTTTACCGTTATACACTGGGTGCGCCAAGGTATCTGAAGCTAAGGTATGAACTTTGATAAGATCAAATTACCAAAACAATTGTTTGTTTCAATTAGTAATGTGGCTAAATACTATGCACAAGAAATGTCTGTGCGATTGGATGAAACAAGTTCATTCTTATTTCTCACCGTGCGACATAAAATATGATTATTATTTATGATGTTTGATTTGAAAAAACCTTAAAATTTCGTTATCTAATAGTGCCTCCACCACTTTCGGTCTATGACTCGTAGTATATACATCAATTATTTGCTCGATTCAATCTCGACTCTCTATTTTCTTTAATATTTATGACAACTATACTGCAGCTTCTTGATTGTTAAAGCAAATCCCCTGAAAATGAGTTAAATGAGCATAGGATGGAATCATGCGCCTAAACAATATAGGTTCACAAAATGGATGTTACTATTTTATATGCAATAAGAAACAATAATTATGGCTTAATTAGTGTGTTGAAAAGATATATGAAAACATTAATATTAAAACGATCAGTGTGAAAAACAATTCTCATAAAATCGAAAAAAACTTTTCTTGTTGATTTTATTTTAATATTTATGTTTAATCTAAAAAGATATCATTACAAAGTTTGATTTATAAAGTTTTGTTGATTATTTATATATTTCACATTTTGCTAAAGTTTTATCCTATTCAACATATCTATTAAAGTTTACTAACTCTAGGTAATAAACTTTGAAAATGATTTTTTAAATATCCTTTCAATTAAAGATATCACGATCAAATGTTGAATCAAGTTAATTATTTTATTAATTATTAAATAATTATACTTTTATTTATTAATATTTAAATTAAATTTACTACAAAAAAAATTAGTTTTTATTTGATAATCATGGTTTTTATTAGAAAAATAAATATAATTATAAATATATATAATTTTTTTAAAAACAAATTTTTTATTATAAAATTTTTACTTACATAATAAAAAATTTTTAAATAATCTATTTTTTTTTGTTAACTTAAATTATATTATTATATTATATCTTTTTTTTTTTTTTTTTTTTTTTGCCCTCTATTAGGCTAGTTACGTATGCTTTATTAAATATTTGTAAGCTATACATATAACATGAGATGTTAAAGCTAATTTTTTAATTAACTCCCTCGTCTGGATTGTTTTACCTTTCTAAGTGCAACTTTGGAAGTAATTTATCACTTTGTTAGAAGTTCAGATAAACATCCTTCCAACTTCTAACATTATTGTTTGCAGATCATTACTGCAAATTACTTTTTTGAGTTCTGATAGAAATTAAAATCCAACTATTTTATTTCATACTTTACTCCATCTTGCAGGACCTGTTTGAGCATCATATTTTCTAATTCTTCTTTCCTTGGTAATATTTGATCTAATCAATTTCTTGATATCTTGATCCTATTTTTTTGCCTCTGTAAATATGTCAGCCTTTTGATCTTGTCACTTCTATTGATTCTCAATATCCATTCCTATTCTATTACCTTTTCACATCTAACATTCCAAATTTTTTTTACATATTTTCTTCTACATCTTTATTATCCACTTTTTTACTTTTTTACTAATTCTTTTTTCATAGCACTTCGAGTTTGCTATCTTATTCATTAAGTCTTCTTCAATCAGTCCCATATAGAAGCTAAGTATATCCCGACCAGTATTTAAGATTCTTT